TCCAGCCCTGCACCTTGTCGTCTCAGGTTCTCCAGCATCTGCAGTTCCTACTATCTCTGATTCAGAAAACCTGACATTGGCATCCCAAAGTCTCAGCCCTAAAAAAAAAAAAATCACCTCTGTTAGTCAGTGTTACTAGACTAGTGCATTTTCTTCCAGTTGCCCCATTTGGCTATATTATTAGTGCTCAAATTATTTAGAGTCAAGTCACTTTCCTTCACCACCCCCATCCCACCCCAAAAAGCATTGAAAATTTGCAACAATCTCCTTGAAAAGGATGCTGGGTCAGTTGAAGTTTCAGGTTGAGCTCAATAGATTGTTAGATGTAGGTAACAAGGAATTTGGACTGAATTCCAAGTAAAATGAAGTTGCATGAGGGAACAGCTGTGATTTAATAGAACGGTGGAAAAAGGTTCAAAGGCTGAAAGAGGAGCACTGGGCTACTTCTGTTTTTAGTTTGTAAAGTTATCACCTTTAAAACAATAGCACAAAAGTCAACTTTTTAAACTGTCACTGTCAAATGCAATTCTCAAAATGCAGTCAGTCAATTTAACTTTAATGTAAATGGTTTTCCAGAAACAAAATGCAGCTACAAGAGAAACTTGCTTGGGGCTATTTTGCAGCATTTTAATCAAACATGTCACCATGTACTACTGGATTCTGAAGGGTCTGTTCTGCCCTTGTTGACACTATCAAAATTATTCAAAAGCCAAAAAAAAATCAAATCAGTGATTCACCCAAGAAAGTTATAGTCATAATTAGTTACACCATGCCTTGTGAACAAAGCATTTGACTGGTTGGATCAATATTTGCTGGCAGAATTGGACATTCAGAACAGACTGCTAAATACAACAGCATGCATTTGTTCGTTTCTGGATCAGCAAGCAATGGGAATTCAATGCATTTAATGCGATTTGGCAATTGCAAAAAATCTCCAAATGAACACTGACCCTAGCAATGAAACCATTAATCTTGAAATTAAAGTGTAAAATTCAGTATAAAACCACGGCTTGTAGAGGTAGGCCATTCAGCCCAGTAAGTCTGCTCTGGCCATGATCACATTGAATGGCAATCAGAATCCACAACTCCACTTTCCTACCTTTTTACTATAACCCTCGATTCCTTTATTCTCAGCTTCACTGATACATGACCCAGCCTCACCGTTAAAGAATTCCACAGATTACCCTCAAGAAATGCCTCATCTGTATCTTAGATGTGGTACCCCTCACTCAGGGTTATGCCCTCCTGTGCTAGACTATCACAAGGGAATAACAGCAGCCTCTCCATTTTCCTAGAATCAGTAAAGGTTACCTCATTTTTCTAAACTCCAATACCCAGGATCAACCTAGTGAACCCTTATTTGGACTCCCTCCAATGCGAATACTTTTTCCTTAGACAAGGGGACCAAAACTGTTCACAATATTCCATCTGTGGTCTGATTGGTGCCTTGTACAGTTTTAGCAAAGCTTTTAGTTTTAATACTACATTCCCTTTGAGTGAAATGGCCAACGTTCTATTTGCCTTCCCTATCAACCAAACCCAAATACTGGCTTTTCACGTGATTTATGCACAAGGACTCCAATTGTTTTGCATTGTAGTTATCTGCATTTAAGTGATATTCAGTTCATCTATCCTTTGTACCAGAGTGCATTATCTCGATTTTTCCAGATCATGTTGCACCTGCTGAACCTGTCTATATCCCACTGCAGACTCATCTTCACCACTTGCCTTCTCACCTATTCTTGTCAGCCATAAGCTTGGCTGTAGTATATTCACTTTCCTCATGCAAATTATTTCACACAGTTGTGGCCCCAGCACTGATCCCTGGGGCACTCTACTAGTTACAGGTCGCTATCCCAAGAATGCCCTTTATCCTGACCCTATTAGTTAGCCAATCATCTATCCATGCTAATACGCTAGCATCCCCCACCAATGAATATCATTGACTGAAGTATAAATGGCACTTTATCAAATGCCTTCTGCAAATCCAAATATATTAAAACCAATGCTTCTTGTTTATCTATCCAACTTATTACCTCAAAGAACTCAAAGTTTGTCAGGCACAATTTTCCCTTCAGGAAGCTACACAGAAAGTAAAGCAGACTCAAAGTGCTCTGCTATTACTTCCTTTTAAAATAGACTTACATTTACCCAAAAACAGATGTTAAGCTTGCTGGGATTTTTGCCTCCTTCCTTTTTGAAGGAAGGTACTACATTGGCAATTTTCCAATCCTCAGGTACTTCTCCAGAATTAAGGATTCTTGGAAAATTACTATTAGTGTATCCAGTATCTTAGTTACTTTAAATATCCTTGGATGCACCCCATCAGGCCCAGGAAACCTAGAGTTCCATTGGATTCCCTAGTACTTTTTGATCTAGTGATAGCTATTGTATTTATTTCTTCTGCCTTCTCCCCACTTCCCACCCACTCTTGATTTGGTATTTTTGGAATGTTATTAGTGTCTTCTACCACAAAGAAAGCAATTTATTCAGCTTCTGTATTTCCTGGCTCCCCATTATTATTTCCCCAGCCTCATTCTCTAAATGAGAATATGTTCACATTGGTCTTTTTTTTATATATATTTAAAAGCAGCTCTTGCTATCCACTTTGATATTAATTTAGTTTCTCACTTCCCCCCACCGCCACCAATCCCAGGCCCCTTGTTGGTTTTTAAAACAAGGGGAAGAAATTCTCCCAATCCTCTGGGCTACCATTAATCTTTACCATTTTGTATTTTGATACTATCCTTCTCTTTCCTGGCTAACCATGGTTGGTTTATCCCACTCCCAGAATTCTCCTTTCTCACTGATAATATTGGCACAGAAGGTTGAATTATTTTCTTAAACACTTACCATTTTTCCCTCAACTGTCTTTACCACTAAACTGCTTTCTAATCCACTCCAAGTAACTCCACCATCATTTACATTATTCATCTTTAAGTTTAACACAGTTGCTTCTCACTCATTTCTCCCCATCAAATTCTACCATGCTATGATCACTGTTTCCTACAGAGAATCTTTTTCCTCAAAAAAAAACATTTAATTAAACCTGCTTCATTGCACATCCCTGATCCAAAATAGCCCCATTCCCATTTGGATCCACAAAAATTGTTCCACGAAAACTGTCTAGAGAATAATACAAATTCTCTCATGGCTACTTTTGCCAATCTACGTTTTAAAAAAAATGGTTAAATCATGCATGATTAGCATACTGCCTAGTTACATGCCCTCTACCTCCCAATTTATTCTTTGTTCTACCATATAGCTACTGTTAGAGAGCCTATAGACTTCACCTAAAGTGCCTTTTTTCCTTTTGTTTCTTACCTCCACCTATTTCACCTACCTTCCAATCCAAGGTCACTTCTTGCCATCCTAATCATTCCATCTCAAAGTTACTCTACCATTTCCTTCCCATTTGTCCTTTCGAAAAAGGGGAAAAATACATACCCCAAATATTTTAGTTCCCAGCTTTATCTTGTAATTACATACAAGGTTATAAAATAACTGAATTAATGGCATGACTAAAAGCTAGTCAGTCATTTATTTTCTTCCAAATACTATATGCATTCAAGTAAGTTACCAATTTTTATTTTGTACTTTTCTTCCTCTCTTCTCCTCTCTCCCCCCTTTACCCTATTCACTGCTGGTTTCCTACATTTGTACACACTGTTCCTTCCTCTCCCACCCTGAGCATCATTATACCATGAGTTGCTCTGTAAAACTACCAAATCCTTTTGCATTCTAAGTCTACTTTCACCCCTCCTACACTTCTTCCCCCACACACCCAAAAATCAGTTCACATTCTTAATGTAAGATTCACTAGGACACTGGTCCTAGCACAGTTCAAAATGAAACCCATGCATTGGAACAGTTCCCTTTTCTAAAGTACAAAGCACCAGTGCCCTAAAAGTTTATGATCATTGTTAATACAAAATATCATTTCTGGCTTTGCACAGGTTTAAAGAGTAGTCTTAAAGAATCCAGTGCTTAAAAAAATTCAAATACTGTCATCTGATTTAATTCAAAAAAGGTGGTGGTCATTCAAACTCAAACAAATGAATTGAGGATTGGGAATCAAAATCTGGAAGAGTCAATCTGAAATTCTAATTCACATGCATGTATAGCTTTGCGAGAAAGTAAGCTCCAGATGTCCACTGACTATTATTGCCAATTAAATCATGCAGCTTTGGTGCAGGACAGACATTTTATACAAATTTAAAGACCAAGTAGGTACATGCCACTGATGTTAGGTAATATTTAGTGCATAAACAGCCTATTATCACCAATATTTGGTCTGTCATACTGTGACATTAGTTATTTCACTAATCTAACCAGTAACAGGCCATTTTAGGCCTTCCTCCCCCTCATTTCAAGATCACCAAATTCCACTGCCCCCTCCCCCAAAAAAAATCAGATATCGCTATCTGTCCTCTGACCATATACTGAAATCCTTTTTCATGCATTGATCAAAATGCCAACGTTTGTGGGGAAAAGGGAAGCGGTCAGACGTTGTGCTATATTTTCTCCCTAAACTGTTACCAGTGCTTTAAAAGCTGTGTACATATACGATCAAAGTGACTAACACCTACAACATTATTTCAACACTGAAGCTGTTTTACAGTTTTCATTTGAAATATCTAGATATATATTGACACACGCAAGTTAAGGGAGCGCATGGTCAGCACCAACAAACTGGACATCAGCCAGTGCGGGATTATCCCAGAAAGCGAAAAATAACTAATCGACAAATGAGACCATCTCCATATACTTAGACTTTTGCAAGAGTTCATGTAATTATTCGATTTGTGTTGAAAACAGTGGAGTGTGAACGTCCTAGTATCGCTACAAGACACGTTCATGAATTAGTTCCTCTGTTACAGAATATTTCTCTATCTTCATAACGATTGGCTTCTCTCGCACGACTGCATTTTAAAAGCAACATTGCGCCCCATCTGATTTTCGCATTCCAGGGTAATTCTAATTTCCCCCCCCCTACTAACCTGAAACGGAGACGTGCACAAATCCACACGACTAACAAATATGAACACCAGGGAAAGGCACAGACCTCAGGAATCAGCTGTGGGAGACAGAAAGGGAGCTGTTAAAAAGAGCTCAGCCCAGGAGACCTCAGAAGAACCGGTTATGGTGTGGAATAGACACACCCAACGGGCTCACTGATTGATCGGATACACACGGTTCAGATGCGGGATGCAGCTGATTGTGATAATGCAGCTCCTTTTCCGGTTGCGTTTCTCACCCGCCCCGGCTGGATGGCGAGTGGACAAAATTAAAGCCGTGACCTTCATCACAAGCCTGCACGTTGTCCCGTCACCAGCAGACAATCAGTCAACGCAACCTGAATAAATAAATCTGAATTGGGTTTGGGAAGCAACGTGGTTTACCACCTTTGATGTTTAAGATAGATGTTTCGTTCAGAATATTGTGCTTTCAAGGTCTAATTTTAAAAATATAATCCAGCAAATTAACAGTGAACACCATTAATAATTCAAATATTGCGCTTGAGATAATTAATTGTTCTCAATTTGACATAAATGTCAATTATTTATTAATCTAAAATGTCAGACAGAGATCATTAGTTGATTAGTTCAATTTGTGCATTTTCTAAAAAAAACACTTGCACTTCCATGAAAAATATAGAAATTGATTATAAAATAGAAGCACACGAGCTTTTGATTAATTTGATCCACTTCACCCTGATATCAAGAAACCTCTGAAGGCACTAGATACTACAGAGGCTATAACTCTAACGAAATTCTGATAATAGTGCTGAAGACCTGCTGCAGCAGCCTACTTTCAATCATCAGCAACATGATGCTATCTAATGCACTGACTCAGCAATAACCTGCTCACATTCATAGAATCATTATAGAATCCCTACGTGTACAGTGTGTACAGTGTCTGCCTGGATTTCCTAAGGGTGTTCTGGTTTCCTCCTAGAGTCCAAAGATGTGCAGGCTAGGTGGATTAGCTGTGGGAAATGGGGGTTACAGGGTGGGATGCTCTTTGGAGGGTCATTATGGACTCGATGGACTGAATGGCCTGTTTCCCTGCTGTACAGATTCTATGATCCTACACAATATTCAGCACTATTCATGACTCCTCAGATCCTAAAGCAGTCTGTGTCCCAATGTAATAACACCTTGCCAAAGTTCAAGCTTAGACTGACAAGTGGCAAGTGTGATATAAACTATAATATATATAGTTTAGAAACATACGAACAGGAGTAGGCCATTCAGCCCCTCAAGCCTGTTCTGCTACTCAAGCAGATCATGGATGATCTGTGGCCTAACTCTATATTCATTCCTATGGCCCATATCCTTCATACCTTTGCTTAACATAAATTTAACTTTTTCTGATTTAAATTTAACAACTGATCTGGCATCAGCTGCTGAATGTGGGAAAGTGTGAGGTGATGCACTTTGGCAGGAAGAATAGAGACATAGACTATTTTCTAAATGTTTTGGAAATCTGAAGCACAAAGGGACTTTATGTTCAAGTTCAGGATTCTCTTAAGGTTAACATGCATGTTCAGCTGGTAATTAGGAAGGCAAATGCAATGCTAGCATTCATTTCAAAATGGCTAGAATATAAGAGCAGAGATGTACTACTGAGACTGTATAAGCGTCAAGTCAGACCACATTTGGAATATTGTGAGGAATTTTTGGCCCTGTATCTATAGAAGGATGCAGTGACATTGGAGCGAGTCCACAGGAGTGGATGATCCTGGAGATGAAGGGCTTGTTATATGAGCAGTGGTTGAGAGTTGTGTGGCTATATTTGATGCAATTCAGAAGGATAAAGGGGGATCTCATTGAAATATGCAGAATATTGAGAGGCCTGAATAAAGTGAAGAAGAGTTTTCCACCAATAAGAGAGACTAGGACCCAAGGGCACAGCCTCAGAGTGAAGTGACGACCCTTAAGAATAGAGATAAGGAGAAATTTCTTCAGCCGGAGGGTGATGAATCCGTGTAATTCATCGCCACAGAGGGCCATGGAGGCCAAGTCATTGAGTGTATTTAAGACAGAGATATCTAGATTCTTGATTGTTAGGGGGTTCAAAGGTTACAGGGATAAAGCAGGACAATGGGTTGAGAAATATACAGCCTTGATCAAATGGCAGAGCAGACTTGATTTGCTGAATGGCCTAATTCTGCTATACATCTTATGGCCCAAGCCAGGTTTCAGACTGGGATCTTATTTGTCCAGCAAGAAGATCATCTGAGATCAAAACACCATTTACCTGATATGAGTGCCAGGAAATGCCCATCTCCAGTGAGTGAATCTAACCATCTCCCCTTGACTTTCAAAGGCATTACAATCACTGAACACTGTATTATCAACATCTTTGGGGTCATCATTAACCCAAAACTGAATTGCACTGGCTATAAAGGTACTGTGACTACAAGAGAAAATTGTTTCATTGAAACAAGTAACTCAACTCCTGATTCAAACCTGCCTATCATCTAAAAGTGGCACAAGCCACAAATCAGGAGTGTGATCAATTACTCCCCATTTGCATGGATGAGTGCAGTTCCAACAACAATCAAGAAACCAGAGATAAATTAGGTCCAAGCAACCTGCTTGACTGACACCCCATCCATCACTTTTCAACATTTCCTCCCTACACCACTGTCGTACAGTGGCAACACTGTTTACTATCCACAAGATACGCTGCAATGACTCACCAAGATTGCTTAGTTGGCATTGTCCAAACCCTCGATTTCCACTACCAAAAAAAAGGACAGGGCAGCAAATACATGGGAACACCACCTGCAAGTTGCCTTCCAAGCCAAACACCATCCTTACTTGGAATTATGTTGCTGTTCTTGCACTATTGCTGTGTCAAAATCCTGAAAATCCCTTCCTAATAATACTGTAGTGGTTCGCAAAGACGCCTCACCACTACCCTCTCAAGAGTGAATAGGGATAGGCATAACATGGTGTCCCAGCCTGTAATGTCCACTTCCCATGGACAAACAAAACAATACCTACTGTGAGTACACACACGTAACCACTACACCCAACTCCACAGCTGCCTCTCAAGTTTCACATACCATTTCAGTGTCTGCTTGGCCACATTGGAAAAATAAAAGACATCACAAAATAGACTTTTCAAACCAAATTTTAAAAAACACAATTAACCATTCTGTGTGTTTGTTTTTGTGCTTTTCCCTGTCCTCGTGCATCTACACAGTGCTGCCTCAATGGTTGCAGCATAGCAGGTGGAAGGCCGCTGCCAAATTTCAGAGGTAGAGACTGGAGATAATTTTAGAGAATGACCTCAAACAGAACTGGCACTGGAATGCTTGTGTTTTAGACTGTGCCACCTTCACATAGACAGTGACAATGTGGTTTGGCTGGCCAACAGGTGCAGCAAGTATACTGGCAAAATGATCAATGTTGGGAGGAAGAAACCTGGCATCCTGAGGGAGATCAGCAAGTTTGTGTTCCATGGAGCCAATGCTATTTCTTTGGTATGGCCCCTCAGAAATCCTCGTAACATATTGGAGGACAGATTGCTAGACAGCTGTGATGCCCTGCATGCCACTTTCTACACTGTTATAACAGCAATCTGAGCTTTTGTAATATCTTTATTGATTTCCAATGCAGCATATTGTGACTTCTGATGAAAATTGCTTGTGCTGCATTGGCAGATTTCCAGATGCAGCAAGTATTTTGTTATGACATAATCTTTAGCTGCCTTCTGACCAATAGAAGTTCTGTTTCTTCTGCAGCAGAACCTTTATGAGACCTCACCCTTTAGTTAACTGGCATTTTGCAATACTTCTGTCTGCCCTTACTGCAGGTCACTCATGCCAGGCATCTCGTTACATTCAGATCTATTCAATGCTCTAAGCAATAAACTGTTTCTGTATCTTAGTTGATCACTCCAAGGGTGAATTGAGTGATTATGTGTCTCTAGGACTACTATCTTAGAGTCACAGAGATGTACAGCACAGAAACAGACTCTTCAGTCCAACTTGTCCATGCCAACCAGCTATCCTAAATAAATCTAGTCCCATTTGCCAGCATTTGGCCCATTTGTCTCTAAACCCTTCCTATTCAGACACCCATCCAGATGCCCCATGGTGGCTCAGTGGTTAGCAATACTGCCTCATGGTGCTAGGGACCCAGGTTCAATTCCACCCTTGGGTGACTGTCTGTGTGGTGTTTGCACATTCTCCCCGTGTCTGCGTGGGTTTCCTCCAGGTGCTCCGGTTTCCTCCCACAGTCCAAAGATGTGTGGGCTGGGTGGATTGGCCATACTAAATTGCCTGTAGTGTAGATTAGGTGGGTTATAGGAGGATGGGTGGGATTCTCTGAGGGTCAGTGTGGACTTGTTGGGCAGAAGGACCTGTTTCCACACAGTAGGGATTCTATGATCTATGAAATGCTGTAACTGTACCAGTCTCTGGCAGCTCATTCCATACACACACCACCCTCTGCGTGGAAAAAGTTGCCCTTTAAATCTTTCCCCTCTCACCTTAAACCTATGCTTCAATTTTGGACTCAGCCAGCCCTGGGAAAAAAACCTTGTCTATTACCCTATGCATGCCCCTGATGGTTTTAAAAGCCTCAATACGATCACCCTTCAGCCCCTGATGCTCCAGGGAAAATAGCCCTAGCCTATTCAGCCTCTCCCATAACTCAAACCATCCAAACCTGGCAACATCCTTGTAAATCTTTTCTGAACCCTTTCAAGTTTCACAACATCCTTCCTATAGCAGGAAGACTAGAATTGCACACAGTATTCCAATAGTGGCCGAATCAATGTTCTGTACTGCCACAATATGACCTCCCAACTCCCATGCTGAATGCACTGACCAATGAAGGCAAGCATACAAAAGGCCTTCTTTACTATCCTATCTAAGTGTCACTCCACTTTCAAGGAACCATGAACCTGCACTCCAAGGTTCTTTGTTCAGCAACACTCCCCAGGACCTCACTATTAAGTGTATAAGTCCTGCCATCATGCTGTTTGGGCAAGCTATACATCCTGGGCATCTGGTAAGGTACAGAGATACGGTTATGATTCTAAGTGGGTTTTGGGTATGAGATGTATGCTTATGTCAAAATACCATCATCATTCCATTCAACCCCTCTACAGGCCCAAACCTCTGCAATGGCCATTTATCAATGGCTAATACCATCTCCACCATGGTGTTAGAACATACAGGGAGGCTTATTAGCTTCTGCCTCCAGTTGTATGACAACATGGTCTAATGTAGTTAGGCCACACCTAGAGTATTGCGTTCAATTCTGATTGCCTCATTACTGGAAAGATGTGGAAGTTTTGGAAGGGTGCAGAAGTTGTTCAACA